TCTGGTGAGATCACGTGTCCTATTGGCAAAAATCTTAAAAAAAAAAAGGGGGGGGGGGGGGAAGAACACGACCGAAGTTGACCTTTACAGGGCAGAGTTGCCCTTTATAACGACATGGCCAGAGTTGACCTTTACGAGATGGTGCCACATGGAAGGGGGCTAGGACTGGGATGGAGGCTAACACAGGGGAGACACACACACAGCAGTGCGGGGAGGGAGCCACTCCCCTGCTCTCATCCCTGCCAGATGGGGAGCATCTTTCCCAGCCATAGCCCTCCTCCTCCACGCTGGACCCAGCAGGCCAGCACTCACCAGAAAGCAGTGTCAACACCAGGAGGCTCCCCTAGACAGGGGAAGAGAGGACAGCCATTTGGGCCCCAAAGAGTCAGAAGACTCTCACTGTAGCATCCTCCCCCCTCCCTCACTCCAGAGCCCAGGCATCTCCTCTGGGGAGCGGCCATGACAGTGACAGGGTGTCCGAGTAGAGAGCTAAGGAGCTGCTCAGCCGGGCTCAGGCTGCCCACCCTCACAGCAGGGACTCCAATGACTCATCCTGGCCCAGCAATGATACAGGCCTGGGAGACTCTTCAGCTCAAGAACCAGCTGTGGCTGTCCACAGGGCCAGGCCCTCCTCATCCACGGTCCATCCACTTCCACCTGACCACTCATCTCCCAAACACAAACTGGCCCCTGCTCTATACCCACCTGTGCTGGATGACAGAGACAGAGAAAGCTGAGATGGCTGGCCTTGTCCTGCAGCTGGCCTCTGGGATGCGTTCAGAGATCAGGGAGGACCCCACAGTCAACCTCCCCCCAACTAGGGCCCCATGATAGGGGAGAGGTCAGGCCTGAGGACTTAAGGGCAGCCCAAGAGGAAGATGCGAGCCAAAAGGTACATCAGACCGACCTAGAGAAGGCAGTTTGGGGACAGGAAAGATTTCATCAGGGGTACCTCCTCCCCCCTCAGCATATCAGCAAGCTTCCCTCGTGCTGTGGGCAGAGCCAAGCAGATGTCATCTTGCCAGCAGCTGGGTAGTCAGGCCCCAAGAAAGCCCCATATTGAGGCTCCTGGGCCAGGATTCCAATTCCCTTTAGCCTGGAAGTCAGAGGACCAGGCCTCACCAGATCTCCCCTTTGCTTTGGGACCTTGGGCAAGATACTCTCCAAGTCTCTGCTTCCTCAGCTGCAAAATGGAGATGATAATTCCGCCCTCATAGCATTGTTGGAGGATCAAATGAAAGATCTTTGTAAATTGGTATTTGTTAGCTAGCTCTGCGGAAGGGCAGGGGTGAGGAAGGCGCTGCAGTGGAATGCTGGTACCCAGCACTACTGACCCCTGGCTGCAGCTCCGTGCTCGGTACAGCTTTGGTGCACTCCTCCCCCGTGCACTTTACAGCTCACAAAGCCCTTTCCTGGCCACTGCCTTAGAATCCTCATAGCAACTTCGCACTCGAAGAGGCAATATCATCATTTTCAATTTACAGATGGCAAAACGCATGCCTAGAGAGGTGCAATAGACCCTCTGAGGGCTACCGTCACACAATTAAACCTCTCACAGGGTCGCTCGTGAGGCCTCGGCAATGTCCTCACACTCTCTCAGCTTGTCCTTAGGGGATCCCGAAGCCTTAAAGCCCCGTCCATGCTGGGCAGGAAGGGGACGTGATGAAGAGGCCACAGCTCCCTCTGCAACCCAAGCTTGGCAGATATTTCTGAGGACTGCCCATTGGGGTTCCCTAGCTCCTCTAGGCAGACCCCAGGATCACCCAAGGCAGGGAGGAGAGGAGTGAGTGACCAGCCTCTGAGCCAGGCCCCTCTGCCTTCCCGCACATACACGCCCTTTACCATGCAGGACCTTACTGTTCCTGGCCTCCTGGTAGAAGCTGGCAGGGCAGGGACTCATCGTCACCCAACAGATTGTGGGCAGAGCTGGAATGACATTGGTCAGAGTTCTCCTGGCTTCAGCTGGGGGAAGGAGCGTCCTAAGTGCCCTTGCATTCCACAGCAGAAGGATTCGAGGGCTTAGGGGAAAGTGTTCGGTTCCAGGGGGACAGGTGCTCTGAGTTAAACAATACCTGGAATGGGTCTGGTGTCTCCCAGTGCCCTCGCCTCCCTGCACTCAATCTGTTCCCCACTTCACAGCAGAGAGCTCTTTCTGAAATGCTGCCCTGACCACGGATCTCCTCTGCTCACGAACTTCTATGGCTCCCTGTTTCTTCAGGAGGAAGGTTTTCGGTCTGCACATTCCGGGTCCTGCAGTGGCCCAGGCCGCACTGTTCTGGCAACCTGTACTATCTACTCTGATAACTGACTCTGGTTTAACCTTCCTTATAATGACATGGCGTGTCGCTGCAGACAGGCCTTCCTGGGGAAGTTGGGGGCAGGAGACAGAATCTGCTCCCTGCCTCTCAGTTCGGTTCAGTGCTGTGCAGGGTGCTGGCAACACAGAAATGAATGAGACCCAGTTTCTGTGCTTCAGGAGTCCCCAGACCTGGGGAGAGGGAAGGAGATATAGACCATGACAGTCCAAGGTGGGACCAGAGCTGTCAGCACTGGGACTGCGAGTGTCCAGAAGTGTCCAGCCCAGCTGGGGAATCAAAGAAGACTTTTTAGAGAAGGGGACATCTAAGCCAGGCCCCGAGCTTGGGAAGCTCTGCAGGTGAGAGTGGGAGAGAAATTAGGCAGTGAGAACGTGTGTCTGGTGGGCCAGAGGCATGAAGTAGCCCGGTGGGCACAGGCGGCTCCACGTAGTCACTGCAGGTGATCAGTCAGGTGGGAGGGGGGTAGAAAGGTGGACAGGGACAGTTCAGAGAGGCCTCAAGACCCACGCTAAGGGCTCCGTCTGCGAGAGTTCAGTCCCTAGGAGGAGCACCGCTGGGATTCAGTTTCAGGAGACTGACCCTTCCACCTCCACCCGAGGCTGCGAGTCTGCCCGGATCTGCCCAGGGGCACTGAGGTGCTGAACATGACACGTGAATCAGCTCCTCCACGGCTTTCAAATGCCACATCGTTAGTGTCCCCTTTATACAGATGAGGCCACTGAGTCCCAGGGAGGGGATGGGCTTGCACAGGGTCACACAGTGGCCAAGGCAGCACTGTAACATAAGTCCCCGAATCCTCTGAAGCTCCCTCTCTGTCTCTCTCTCTTGTTTTTAAAGAGATTTTTGCTATAGGGTGTGTGTGCCCGCCAGAGAGAGCCAGAAAGACAGAAAGCAAGAAATCACCCCCCCAGGGAGGATGGACACAATCCCTTCTCCTCTGTTCTCCTCTCAGGATTTTGAGCACACGTGCACAGTTTAAGTCACTAGGTCCGGGAGTCAAACTGCAGTTAATTATGTGGGAGTCCAGCGACTTAACCAAAGCACCATCTGCTGGTCCCACTCTCTGAAGCTCTTTTGAAGACCCTGTCTGCTCAATGAATTCTCCCCCTCACTCCCACAGGTATGTGGGTGAGGTCCCACCCTGACCCTCAAAAGCTCATTATTTTTGGCTAGAACCAAAACAAAGGCGCAGATGGGGCTAGGGACCCCAGGACACTGGCTATGCTGAGAGGAACAGCCGCTACTAGCTCGAGATCCCAAACTGACAGTTCTAGGCCCCAGTGGGACCTGGCCCTGGAGACGCTCCTGAGGACACCAAGCCTGTCACTGGCAGACTTGGAGGTTAGGGGGTCACAACCTTCCTCCTGACTGAATCGTCCTACAGCTCCATCTGCCAGATTAAAAGTCCCCTGACAGAGAGGCTTAACTGTCCTTCTTCGGCACTGTCCCCTCCCCCCTCCTTTTCTCACGACTGCCGCCCCTCAAGTCTTACTGATGCTCAGGACAGCGGGTAATGCAGAGTGACTATGGGAAGATGACGACAGGGGAAAACAGGGTAGGGGGAGCCGCGGCCGATCTCCGGGGGATCCCTGGGTCTCTGGCTGAGGCCCCACGTCGCCGGGGCGCCCACGCCCGAGCACAGATGCAGACAAGTTCCCCAAGTTCAGCGCGCACTCACCCTACTGACAGGCTTCCCAAATGCGCGCACACGCACACCCAGCCACCACTCACCGAACTCGCGCTCCAGGGGAGACAAAGTTCAACCACCGGCCCGCGGGCGCGCCCGCCCGGTCCAATTCCGCGCTGCGCCGGGCTCGGAGCCCTGCTCCACTGGGACGGCTCACTCGCTAGCCTTCCCAGCCGCGCGCCCAGGCGACACCTGCGCGGGTCGGACCCGGACGCCCGCTGACCCTCGCCGTGTCCTGCCCCTCCGGGACGCCCGCGTCTCACCTCGCGCTGCGCCAGTCCTCCGCCGGAGCCCGCGCGACCGCAGGGCGCAGGGACCCACGTGCCTGGGAGCCCCGCGCCCACGCCCCGCCTCGCTCTGCACCCCGGCGCTGGGCCCGGCAGGGGGCGGGGCTGACGCCGGACAAGCCCCG